ACAGTTCCATTCACCAAGTTTGAGTAGTGGCAACTTCTAATACAACCCCAAATCCAATTACACCAACTGTCTCCAAAGCCAAAACTTTTCAACACCTCCAACAAGAAGGACCAATCAACTAAGTCATAAGTCTTCTCCAAGTCTAGTTTACACACCACTCCTTTCTTCTTGGATTTCCTAAAACTCTCCAGACTCTTATTTGCAATCAAGATTTGATCAGTAATTTGTCTTCCCATCACAAAAGCACCTTGGTTAGGTGCAATTATAGAAGGAAGAACCTTCTTTAACCTTAGAGACAACACTTTTGCGATTATTTTGTACAAACTGTTCACCAAACTAATAGATCTGAAGTCCCTTGGTTGTGAAGCCTCTTTCTTCTTAGGAACCAGAGCAATGAAAGTGGAGTTCAAGCCCAGGTTGATTATTCCCCTTCTGTGGAACTCCTCGAACACTGACTCAATATCTTCCTCCACAATACCCCAACAATCTTGATAAAAAGCCATTGTGAACCCGTCTGGACCTGGAGCTTTTGTTCTATCCATTGAAAAGATTGCTTCCTTTATCTCCTCCAAATCAAATCTCCTTTCTAACCACTCTCTGTTTTCTGGACTTAGAGTCGGCCAATCTAAACCCTCTAACCGGATCCCTTCATTTAAAGGTCTTCTGAAAATAGATTTGAAATGACCAACAAAGGTTTCTGCTATTTCTACCGGGTGGGAAATAATTGTTCCTTCGACTTCCAACTTTGAAATGAAATTCTTCCTTCTTCTACCGTTTTCCACTGAGTGAAAGAACCCGGTGTTTCTATCCCCCTCCTTCAACCACTTGCACCTAGATTTCTGCCTCCAGCTTATTTCCTCTTTAATCAAAAGATCCTCCAATTGCTTCTTTACACTCCATCTCCTTTCTCTGTCTTCTTCACCAAAAAGACCCCTTCCTTCCTTCATATCCAGCTCTTCTATATGCTCTACCAACACCTGTTTCCTTTCCTCAACTCTCCCAAACTCCAACCTGTTCCACTCCTTTATTTGGGATTTTAAGAACTGAAGCTTTTTATGGAACCTCATTCCTTCCCATTGTATTGGCGGATTATAGTGCTGCCACCATTCCTTGATTTTCTCAATGAAGCCCGGGTGGGTCAACCACATGTTTTCAAACCTAAACGGGGCAGGACCATCACCTCTCAAATCCTCCTTACACATTACTATAGGCCAGTGGTTTGAGGTAAGCCTCGGGAGCACCCTAGATGTTAAGTTACCCCAATGTGCCTCCCAATCTGTAGAAAAGAGAAACCTGTCCAGCTTAAAGCAAATTGGGCTTGATTGGAGGTTGGACCAGGTGAAGGTATTGTTAAGCATTGGGAGTTCTTTAAGCTCAAACGAATCCACAAACTGATTGAAGCTCCTCATACTTGTTGTGACTCTCTGTCTAGGGTTGTTGGTTTCCTCTGTGAGTCTCACTACATTAAAATCCCCTCCCAGACACCATGGTCCTTCCCAAAGGCCCCTAATATCACTCAACTCTTCCCACAGTTTCTTTCTCTGCCTATAGTATTGGGCCCATAAACATTTGTTAGAACCCATTCGAAACCATCTTCCACCTGCCTAAACTTCAAAGAAACAGAATGATCCCCTATCAACTCCTCCGGTCCTGTAAGCACATCTTCTTTCCACAAAGTCACAATACCACCTGAGGACCCCCACGACGGAGCAGCCGCCCGCTTAATCCCATTAGCTCTCCAGACACTTCTCGTCCACCTATAGTCAAAATCCATTCTTTTGGATTCCTGAAGTAATACCACATCTGGATTGAACTTCTTAAACGCCTCTTTGATTGTTGCTCTCTTTCTAACACTACCTAGCCCCCTCACATTCCAACTTATGATTCTCATCACAATTTTGCAAGAATCTACCCTATCACCACCAAAATCTACTTGGGCCCTTTCCTTCTGTCCCCTCTGGCCCCAAACTTCTTATCCACCTCAATATCTCTTTTTAATCTCTCAACCTCACTCAATTTTCTTTTTTTGAACTTTCTATCCTCCTTTTTTCGTAGAAATGCTTTTAAATCATTTGGGTTTTTTAGTTTACACCCTAGCTTTCCCACAAATTCTGCCACTGAATCTTCCCTACAATTCTCCTTTTTATCTAGTTGGAACGTCTACCCCTCTCCTCATTCCTTTTCTCTTTCTCTCCACTAGGCAATCTTTCTGTCCCATTTCTACCCTCC